AGAAGATGAGCAGCTCACCGCACAGCCTTTATGTGCTCCCAGCTAGCGATACCTGTCATGGCGCCTTTCTGGTCTTTGGTTCTGCCGTGCACTGTCAGCAGCTGGGAGACACGTCAAGACCGATCAACACAGATTTATTCAAATGCTTCTGGAAACACCATTTAAAGCAAACGCACAAATCAACAGTCAGAAATGAAAATAAACTATGCAGCTGTGCGTTACGCTTGTTCAGTGAAGCGTAAAACAAAGATGGCCGAGCCACACCACACATCAGATTTGCTGAATTTACTCCTCATCACTGCTCCAGTTTAAAAAAAATGATTTTCTAATGTAACACACCGTTGTGTGCCGATGTAGTTTTCCTTAAAAGCTCTTATTTGTAAAAGGACTTTACATAAAAATGGAACACATCCTTAAAAATACATACTGGCAAAGTTTGCTTATGGTGACTTTTACAATAGCCCAGCTTCAGTCCGTTTATCTGTGTCTTTCTATACACTGTACGAAGCTCAACTTAGAAAAATCTTTTCCCCCCCCTTACAACAACAGCTAAAGTAAAAGGACAATTCTGTTTCTGCTACAGACTGGGAAGAGACAAGCCGGAGAGCTGGCAAACTCATTCAAATAATGCAGAGATCATACCTGACATCCAGCTTTCTCGAGCATCTGGGCATAGCGGACTGTCTTTTCAACCTCCTTGAACACACGGATCTTGCACGTGATTGGCACTTTGAGCTTTTCGTTGGCTAAGCTGACTGACAAATAAGGGGAAAGTTTAGGTGCCTGAGATTAAACTGATTAAACAAACAGAAGATGTGGAAAAAATGTTTCTGCATCCTGAATATTCGTGAAAACATTATGTCCAACAACAGTCTTCAGTCATACAAACACAGACTTACCCATTTTTTCCAACAGGTCCCATTCATCTTGTAGAAAAACTCCATAGTGTCCTTAAAAAAAAGAAAAGAGAAAAGAAAAACTTCAGTGTCAAGTTCCCCTTTCACTCGTCTGCAAGTTTGGCAGCACTATTCTTTCTGATGCAATCTTTAAGAAATGGTAACGTAAGAAATTCATGGGTTCATATATGAATGAAGGGTCTACCTCTCTTAGCGATCATCTGTGGACAACCCAGGTTGAGATCAATGGCGTCACAATAATCCTGAGCCAGCAAAGCTGCCTGAAGGAACACCTCTGGATCATTGGCACAAAACTGACACACAGAGGATGGAACACTGATTTAGATAAGGCAACAGCAGATGAAGCGATTAAGGTGTTGTAATGGTTACATTTGTTTCTTTCTTTGCCTCTGATAAGGAGGTTTTGAAATGGGCAAAACTGAAAATTTAAATTAAAAATGGACAAATAACAAAAGCCTGCACTTTGAATTTTTTTACTGCACCACAAACGTCTTGAAGTTTAAAAAGAAAATAAATAAATAGAAAATACAAAACTATTAAAAGCATTTTTAAATTACTGATATTACTATTTAAAAACAAACAAACAAAGAACTCAACTCAGTGTTGATTCTCACCTGTGCAATAAGAGGCCTGTCCTCCTCACAAACTTCATTATAGAGGTTTTCCCTCCTGTAGTTGGCGTCACGGACAAACACCTGAGCATGCAGCATGGGGGTGTAGCAAAGCTGAGCACCGTGTCGGCGGCTAAGCAAACGCCAAGCCAGCTCACTCTGGTCCACCATGGGAGCCACCACATAGCGTGCTGCTTTCAGAGTTTTCCTCCAAAACTCAAAGCCCTGAAGTTTGGCCATCACAGCTGACTTTGAGAGAAAAGGAAGGATAAGAGGTAAA